CCCAACAGTCCAAGATCCCACGGGTTTTGGTTCAAGGCAGATTTTAGGGTTTCAAGGTTTCAAGAATCTCAACCAAAGCGTTAACAATTTCAAGATTGTTGTGTAATCAACCAAGAATTCCAAGAAACTGAAGTCTTGATCTAGATTTCCAAGAATTTAATGAGGTTAGCCGCTGTCTTCTTCCCCTTATTTTTTTTTTAATGCAACAACAAGAACAAGTTGATGGCTAGACACTCCTAACGACCAAACAAATTTCTGTTTTTGTTTTTTTTTACTTAGATTTCGACTTAACCATGAGAACAGAAATATAACAAGTTGTTGGAACAAGAAACAACCACAAACAAGAAAGAAACAATTCGGACAGATTGTATCACTTGACCAACGAAAGACACGACAGCAAGATCAACAAAAAACCCTAACGACTCAAGATTTTTTTTTCCTTTTGGACTAGACACAAAACACACAAAAAGAAAGATAACACACAAACAGATTTTTTTTGTGTTCAGATGAACAGTACGGTGAACAGTGACGTGAATAGTATCAGTGAACAGTAACCTTTTTTTTCGGCTGGATGAGAACCAAATAAGAACAAGACACAAACACGACTAGGAATAAAAAAAATATGACACGAAAAGGCTGGAATTAAGAGGATATAACCTAGAAGTTGTCAACTAGCTCTGATTACCAGATGATACGAACCCAACCGTGCTTGGCGAACTCATATTCCAACAAACAGGATCTAGACACGTGACTCCAAGGTTTGTTTGTGTGGAACCCTAAACCCCCTTAGAATCTCTTGTATGAGAACTAAGAATGACTCTTAACCCTCAAGAAAAAATTAAAGGAACTTTTGGTGTTGGTAGAATGGTGCCACGAGCAAGTGTGATTCTTGCTTGATAAGCTAGGACTTGAACAAGGGAGATTCGACTCACTTTGTATCAAGAGACGCTCCCAAGGAACAAGAAAGAGATGAAACTGTCAATTTTCATTCTTAATTGTCTAACTACTAAAATTATCATAAGCTTGGGTATTTATAGCCTTACAAAGAAGCAAACCTAATCTAAGTTGGAAACAATGCAAGTTTCCTTATTCGACTTGACAACTAAACTAATGACTCACTAATCACAGTCAAGGCTAACTAATGGATAGCTTATAATCAACCCAATGAAGGCTTTAAGCTGGCCTAACATAACCCAATAAAAGCTAATTAGCCAACTTAAATAATAGTGAGTCTAGAGTCTATAAATCGGATCCAATTCAACATGAGGTCTTGGACCGAACTTATACCTACCAAATAAAATAGAAATCTAGAAAATAAACTACTAAACTGTTACTAAAAGATTCAATCTCTTGCAGCCCGAAACATGGCCCATAAGCGGCCCATATTTCGTATCATCTTCATTCCTTTCTTGTGTTGGGCGAAAGTGAGAGAAAAACAAGAGAGGAGAACTTCCAACTTCATCTTGATTTACCCTTGTTTGAGTTGAAACCTCAAAATCTAAACCGATTAAACTAGCACCAAGGAGCTAAGAAAGCTTGTTGTGGAGTTGTTTGGAAAGAAATAGCTTGGTTCTTCACTTTCTTCAAGTGTTTTGGAAGGTACAGGTCTAAAACTTCCTTTTCTTTCTTGTTTTAGCAAAATATAGGATAGATGCCTTGAATCCAACCAATCCATTAAATCCATCATCAATCATCACATCAGCCATCAATCCAAGACTGGGAGTTCATAGAGTCCACATTCAAAATTTTCCAACAATAACAAGCCACCCACATGAATATCTAAGCTCATAAGTGTAAATCAACTTCCATAGGCTAAGAATTTGAGGATTGATCGTCACTTACTTGTATTGGCGGACAAGATTGAATTTTTGGCCGCTCCTTGCTTCAAAATGAACCAAGAAAAGCTCCCCCTTTTTAGTTAGATACAATCCCCAAGAGTTCAACTAGGTGTAGTTCAATTTTGGTTTGATTTGGTTGAGATTTGGTGCAAGAATTTGGAGTAGAAAGTGATGGAGCAAGGCTGGTTCTTCTTTCCCTTGCTGTTCGGTTGTGTTGAGGTGAGAAATGGAGAGTGTTTGCTGATGGTGAGGCTTCCGTGAGAAGCTTAGCAATTGTGGGTTTCAAGTGTACAAAAGTCAACTCTCTAACAGTGCGCGTATGTGCGCGTTTTGTGCTCGATTTCTCTCGAGTTTATTTCACTAGTGCACTAAACCTCCAATATACTTATAATCATATTAGTATTATTTACTCTTAATTGTCCCAAAATAAGGGTTTAAAGTCCCTCAATTAAATCGCGCGTGTAAAAACGCGTATTTCCAAATTAAGCGCGATAAAGCAAAACTTCCAAGAAATTCTTATAATGATAGTACTAATAACTATCACTTGAATACTTAAACGTAGAAATACCTATTTTAGGACCATTATACAAGTCTCCAATTTTCCCAACTTATGGTATTTCCAAATCAGCTAAAATCTCTAATCGCGTATTCACTATTTTCACTTAATAAGCTTCCAGAAATTAAATTTTGAAACGAGTCACTTTAAAAATATAACGAAACTATAAATCCATGTAATTAGGTCTAAAGAGGTTAGAAAATAATAATCAGAGTAAATGGGTAATTAAATATTTAAATATGCTCGGAATGGATTTTAAAAGTAAATAAATTTTTGCGAGACATCACATCCTCTTCCCCTTAAGAAAATTTCATCCTCGAAATTTACCTTGATTGATGAACAGGTCTGGATACTTTTCTCAAATTGTTTCGTCGACTTCCCAAGTCGCTTCCTCTAGACCGTGGTTCTTCCAAAGAACTTTCACCAACGGTATCTGTTTATTTCTCAATTTTTTTACCTTCCTATCCAGTAGTTTCACTGGTTTCTCCTCATAGGTCAAATTTTCATCAATTTCAATACTTTCTGGTTGCAAAATGTGAGAAGGGTCCGGATGATACTTCTTAAGTATGGACACATGGAATACATTATGAATTCGGGATAAATTCAGCGGCAATTCCAACTTGTATGCCACATTCCCCACGCGTTGGATAATCTTGTAAGGTCCTACAAACCTCGGTTGTAACTTCTTTCCTTTCCCAGACATCAAGCTCGATTTCAGCGGTGTGATTTTAAGAAACACTAAATCTCCAATGGAGAATTCCAAATCCTTTCTCCGATTATCTGTATAGCTCTTCTGACAACTCTACGTCGTTTGAATCCTTTGACGTACCAATTTTTACCTTCTCATTCGCTTTCTCAATCCAGGGCACTGTGGTCGGGTCTAAGATTTTCTGTTCACCCACTTCATCCCAACAAATCGGGTCCTACACTTCCAACCATAAAGCGCTTCATACGGAGCCATTTGAATAGAAAAGTAAAAACTATTGTTATAAGCAAACTCTACCAGAGTCAAGAACTTACTCCAACTATTACCAAAATCTAGAACACAGGCCCTTAGCATGTCCTCAAGAGTTTGAATTGTCCTTTCAGATTGTCCATCGGTTTGAGGATGATAGGTGGTACTAAAGTTCAACTTAGTTCCCAACATTTCTTGCATCTTCTGCCAGAATCTCAAAACAAATCTCGGGTCTTTGTCGGACACGATACTCACGGGAATTCCGTGCAGTCTGATAATCTCATCCAAATACAACGTGGCCAACTTGTCTAATGGGTATTTCATATTAATCGGCAGAAAATGAGCCGATTTGGTCAGTCTATCCACTATTACCCAAATACCATCATGGCCTCTTTGTGTCCTAGATAAACCCGATACAAAATCCATAATAATGTTTTCCCATTTCTATTCAGGTATCTCTAGGGGTTGTAAAAGTCCCGATGGTTTCTGATGTTCAGGCTTAACTTGTTGACAAACCAAGCATGTCTGGACAAATTGGGCAATTTCCTTCTTCATGTTTTCCCACCAATAAATACTTTCAAGTCCTGGTACATTTTATTCCCTCCAGGATGTACCGTAAACTTTGATCGATGTGCCTCTTCCAAAATTTTCTTCTTAAGTCCTTCATCCTTTGGCACTACTATCCGATTCCGAAATCTCAATATTCCATTTGACCCCAAATTAAAATCCGTCTTGTCTCCCTTTTTAACCTTTTCCACCCATTTTTGCACTTCAGTGTCCTTTCTTTGAGATTCCATGATGTGTTCCAATAAGGTGGAATTCACTACTATATTTTCCAAAATTACTTTCCTTGGTCCCAGTCGAGAATTCCAATAACTAACTTCTTCCAACAATTGCAATTCCTTGATCATCAATCCAGCCATTTGCACTTGACGACTCAAAGCATCGGCCACTACATTGGCCTTTCCTGGATGGTACTTGATCGTGCAATCATAATCTTCCAGAAATTCCATCCATCTACGTTGCCTCAAATTCAGCTCCTTTTGAGAAAATAAGTACTTAAGACTTTTGTAGTCTATAAAAATCTCAAATGTCACTCCGTACAGATAATGTCTCCAATTCTTCAAAACAAAGACTACAGCCGCTAATTCTAAGTCATGAGTCGGGTAATTCCCTTCATGCGGTTTCAATTTCCTAGAGGCATATGCTATCACTTTGTCTTGTCAACCGTCTTTTCAATTCCTGGAAACTATCTTCACACTTAAGACTCCATGTAAACTTCCCATTTTTCTTGGTCAGCTCGGTCATTGGTCCAGCAATTCTAGAAAAGTCTTGGATAAATCTCCGGTAATACCCTGCTAATCCAATAAAACTCCGAATCTCGGTAGAGTTTTCCGGTCGTTTCCATTTCGAAACAGCTTCAATTTTAACTGGATCCACTTTAATCCCATCCTTAGAAATTACGTGTCCCAAAAAAGTCATTTCTTTTAACCAAAACTCACACTTGCTAAACTTAGCATATAACTGGTGCTCTCTCAGGGTTTGTAAAACAATTCTCAAATGTTTCTCATGATCTTTCACATTCTTAGAATACATTAAAACGTCATCAATGAAAACCACCACAAATTGGTCTAGATAAGGCTTAAAAACCCTATGCATTAGATCCATGAAAGCTGCAAGAGCATTAGTTAACCCAAATGGCATCACTGCAAACTCAAAGTGCCCATACCTCGAGTTAAAAGCAGTCTTGGGTATATCCTTCTCCAAAATCCTCAATTGATAGTACCCCTGTCTCAAATTCAATTTCGAAAATACTATCGCCCCTTGCAATTGGTCAAACAATTCATCAATGTGGGACAATGGGTATTTATTCTTAATTGTGACATCATTCAAATCTATACATAGTCTTAAACTCCCATCTTTTTTCTTTACGAACAAAACTGGGGCTCCCCACGGAGCATTACTTTCCCGTATAAAATCCCGTTCCAACAAGTCTTTCAATTGTAATTTCAACTCCTTCAATTCCGCTGAGGCCATTCGATATGGTGTCTTAGAGATAGGTGCTACTCCGGGAGTTATATCGATCTTAAAAGTTATTTCCCGTTCCGGGGGTAAAGACTCCAATTCATCAGGAAAAACATTTGGAAAGTCTTTTACCACCGACATGTCCTCCAGATTCACCTTATCACTAGAAGTGTTGATAAGAAAAGCCAGATATCCCTGAGCTCCCTTACTTAATATTTTTCTAACTCGAATCCCTGAGATAAGCGCATATGAAGCTAATCTACCCCTTGCATCCAATTTTAGGGTCGTCTCTCCCGGGATGTACAATTCTACAATTTTTGTTTTACAGTTCATCTGAGCAGTGTAACGGGCTAACCAATCCATGCCTAACATTACATCATATCCCTTAATTGCTAATCCTATCAGATCAGCCCACAATTTGCGTTCTCCAACCCAGATCTCACAGTCCCTATACATCAAATTGGCAATTAAATTTTGGTCCCCAGTAGGCATTTTAACTTCCAGGTCATAGGGTAATTTAATTGGCTTCAAGTCTACCCCATTCATGAAATTAGGGTTTACAAAAGAATGAGTAGCACCCAGATCAATTAAAATCTTGGCTAGACGGTGGAAAACAGAAATTGTACATTCAACCACCTCAGTTGCATTAGGTATTTGCTGGTGCTCCAGTGCATAAACCCTAGCCGGTACCTTTGGTCGGCTCTCTCCAGTACTAGTCTGCTTAGAAGTTGACTTCTCTGGCTTCTGAGGATTACTTCCCAACTTATGTGCCTTTGGACAACTTGCGAGTTAGTGATCAGCACTCCCGCAATAGAGACATTTCCCTAACTTCCTCCAACAATCACTCTCAGAGTGGTTATATTTACCATAGTACCCACAAGAGACTTGAGGAGTCACGGCCGAACCAATAGAAGGTGCTCCTCTAGCCTGAGCCGGTCCACTGCGATCTTCTCTGGATAAAGCTCCCCTAGAAGCTCCAGTGGTCCTTATTCCTCCCATTCCTCTTCCCATTTTGGAAGGTTGTGCACTCTTACTAGTCTGTCCAGAATTACGGGAAGAAAAAAATTCCTTTTTCTATTATGGAAGTCCCTCACTTGCATTCTTGCACTTTCAACCCTTTGCGCTTTCTCTATAGCCTCAGTAAATGAAGGGATTTGGGCAGCAGCCAAACCCTCCTGAATTTCCACATTCAACCCCTATATAAACCGCCTTATGCTTTTCCGTTCATTGGTCACCAATTCGGGAGCGTACTTTGAAAACTTAGTGAATTTTCCTTCATACTCCACTACACTAAGGGTCCCTTGTTTCAACTTGATAAATTCATCCTCCCTCTTTTCTTGAATCAAGGGTGGAAGAAATTTTTCAGTATACTCCTTCGTGAAATTCTCCCAAGTCCAAGAGGTTTGAGTTCTTTCCCATTTTCCTTTTATCAGATCCCACCAAGCACGGGCTACTCCCTCAAATTGAAAGGCAGCAAAATTCACTCGCCTATTTTCAGAATAGTCTAGAGCAGCGAATATGTTGGTCATCCTCTGTAACCAATTCTCTGCTATTTCAGGATCTGGTTCTCCAAGAAATTTAGGCAGATTGAACTTTAAAAATCTCTCTAAGACTCTATCCTCTCCTCTTTCCTGACCAGGTTGGGTAAACAGTCCAGGACCTTGTCTATCAGTTAAGCGCTCTAGGATATCAGTTATCCTATTAATGACAGTAGCCACTTGATTACCCTCAATATTTTCCTGACCTTGGGTCGGTCCAGTTGTCGATTCCTGGTCATCCGGCCTGCCTAGCCCCTCGCCCACGACCTCAACCACCTCTCAGTCCTTCCATAATACTAAATGTGCCTAGTGCAAGAAATAAATTCATTAAATGGGGAGATACTTGAAACAGGAGCCAATCAAGCGAATACTAGAAATAACAATAATTTACATTCATTAGCATGTCAAGTTTCATACAATTAGCAAGTCATGGGGTAGTCACAAAAATATAGCACACAAGTGCCACAAAAGTACTTTTAGTCACGGAGGACTAAAGTAAAAGCAAGTGCTTCAAAAGTAAGCCGCACAGTCATGCAAAATACAATGGCCTCAGCACTTAGCATCACCCCTGCTAATTCTAGCTGTACTAGTCAAAAGGGTCAAAAGAACGGTCAATCAATCTAGACATAGTTCACAATAGGACTATCAGGAGGAATCTCCTCCTCAGGATCCTCCTCCGGGTCCTCTTCCTCCTCAAGGCTCTGGACTACCTCCATCGCCTCATCCACTAGCCTAATAGCATCAGTCACGATGTCGAAAGCCCGACTACGGACCTCCTTTCTCAACCTAGTAAGTCGAGCCCTAGCACTATGAATCTCCTCACGAACCACTGCAGATGTGGGCACCTCATCCTCTAGTACCTCCTCAAGCTCCACAATCCTCTCTCCCTGAGCGCTAACCATCTGTCTAAGCTCGTCCACCTCTACCTGTAAATCCCCATTAATATCCACTAACTGACGACGCTCGTCGTCCAAAGCTAGCACGAGGTGGTTCGAGTAGGCGAAGGTCAACCTACATGAACATCGGGGATATCTGTCAGATGGAGAATAGCGTACTCGAGCTCCCCCAACCAGCGCTCGGTAGTAGATAGGCCTAAGAGGCACTACATGACCATTCGCATGGCCATTTCCGTTAGCTGCCGGAACTCTATTTCCGTTTTCCATTCCTGCAAAATAATTGCACTTTTCGGGTTAGAAATTAAATCACTATCTAATTCGAATGTCGTTTATGCATGCTTAACCCAATCACTAGTATGCCCCAAGTACCCCTTAAGGTATAACTTAATTATCCGGTCTCAGGTCTTAAGGGTAGAGTATCTAATATGTCTCCCATATAGATCTCTAACCTAGCGCTTTGATACCAACTGTGACGCCCCCACTTCTCCCTAAGGCGAACCAAAGGGTATCCGCGGAACGTCTGTCGAGCTCTCGCCAGAACTCACGCAAAAACCCATTCAAACTTAATACAACACTAAATTACAACCAGATAAAGTAATTGCAAATAGTACGAAAGTTTTCAAACTTAACAACACATAACCATTATTCAATCCTTACGATGGGTTTCCAAAATACATCCCAAATACCAAAAATTTTCGTAGCCATAAAGCTTGGCCACTAACACTGGGCCCTATTACAAAATATCACCAAAAAGGGTTCTTCCATGTCTCAACCCATGCCCACTCCTGTTAAGGAAAACAAAACTATAGGGTGAGCAAAACGCTCGTGAGGCCAAGAACACACATGCAAGCACGTAGTTCAAGTAACACTCCCAAATTAATCAATTTAAAACCATAACCATTCGATAAAGAGCACTTTACTGAAAAGTAAATAGAAATAATTCAACGATATGGGAGATCTTAGGATCTTTTCCACTTGCACGATCACGAACCTCCACGCGTTGACACTCCGTCAACCGGGTAGGTTTAATCCGTAGAAACATCACTTACACTTCCCCTTCTCAACCTTACATACCACATCGGGCCCGCAATACATTTATGAGGCGATACTTCAGCGAGTATGCCAAGCAAGACCTCTCAATAGGTCGAGCTTATGAAATCTCATGGTTCACTGAGGAGCTCGACCAAGCCCATGCTGGCTCGAGTCCAATGCTAGCCAATAAGAGAGTTTGGGCGTCCCCCACTTTTACACTTTTGTATCGAGGAGGTTCACTCCAACGACTTATGCAATCACAGCATAAATAATCACTTAAACACTCCACATATATTCACTTAACAAGTTACTTAAACAAATAAGCACTTCACTTCGTTTAAATGAGGACGAGTGCGATAAAGTACACACTCGACTCAAATGTTTTAAAATCTCAATTTATATAACACTTATCACTTTGCAGATATATCACATAATACACACACTTGACACTCACAGTGAGTCTATAGCAAAAGTGTCACTTGGAGGTTCAAGCTTCCACCGTAGGATCCTCTTGAAGGTCCTCGTGTGCGCCTGAGCAAATAATAGTGAATTATCATTCACACATCCCAAATATCGAGGAAGATTGTGCACTAGTACAATCTAGGAAAATTTCATGATAATGAACCTCAATTACTCGTAAATCAAGGTTCAAGTGGAGTTTCTTAAAGTACAAGAGCAATCGAGTCTTTTTGTCTTGAAAATCGAGCATAAACGTTCAAGTACTATCGAAGGAATAAGGAATACTTGAAAAACTCCATTTCCTTGAAATTCAGAAAATTTCAGTTTTGATACGATATTTTGAAAAATCGTATCTCACATTCCACATGTCGAAAATTGGAAAACTTGGCACCGTCGGAAACCTCTTCCAAATTACTAAAAGTTCCTAGAATATACCTTTCTAAGATTCCAAATGGAAAACATTCAAAAATAAGCTCAAAGTCTCTGTTTTGGTTCATAAGGCAAATTTAAGTTGATTTTTGGCCAACTTTGAAAATTCAGCAAAATTCACTTGATTGGAACTAGCCTGTGAAATTTGAAAATATATTAGAGTCGCAATGCAATTTTACAACAAAACAAGCGGAACGAGAAACGGAGTTTTGAGCACTAAGATATGGCAACTCAAAGTTACCAAAGTTCCCTTGTGAAACAAGGGTTTTCCAAACTCGAGTCATGAACTTTGGTAATTTAGTCGAGCAGTAAAATGGACTCGGATTGGCACCAAGTTTGACAACATAATACTCCTATATAAAGGGTATCCCTCTATCAAATTTCATGGAAAAATACCTTCGGGAAGGTAGTCAACCAAACATCCAAAGTTTCGAAAAATCCTAAGGCAAAACTGCATTGAACTTTTTGGCCAAGGAAAATCCTTCAAACATGGCTCATTTGTGTAGGAAAAGTCTAAGGAACATTCATGGTACATTTGGTAAGTGTTTCAACTCCAAGAGATTCAATTGGCAAGTCCACACCAAGTCTAGCATCAATTCTGCCCAAAATTTAGGGTTTTCAAGAACAGGGCAGGTTTCGTATTTTGATCACAAATCACTCAATTCAACTTGGAATTGACCATGGTTGGTGGCGTTGGAAAATAAATTCATAAAAATATAATTTCATAGAAGAAATTGTTTTGAAATTCAGCACACAACTATCTCAAATTCGAGCCTCAAGTTGTAACTTCTGAACTTCGTTCCAGGAAAACAGAGAAACGGGACAGTCATCTTTAAATGGTTGGTATGGAATCCTCAGGTGGAATTAGGGGTTGCATTTTATACCATTGGAAAGCTGGGAATGTATAGTTTCCACTAACGGTACTTGATTTTGACTTTGGAGCACAAAGTTATGGCCGAAACAAGAAGGCTGTTTGAGCATTACGGGAAAATGTTTCTAGGTTTGCTAGCTTTGTGAGATTAATCCATTTGACCAACCAAACCTCAATATTTTCCAATGAAACTTTATACACCATCCATACAACAAATAAAAATCATATACAAGTCATTAAAACCTCAAAATTCCGCAAAAAGAGGCA